GCCGAGAGGCCTATATGAAGTCCAAGTCATCAAATAAAGATGACCAGGAGAGACGACTTAGGGGCCGAGATGATGCCATCATTTAGTTGCACCTATCCAATGAAATAAAAAATGTTATAATTTCTTGAGCTTATAATTCGCTATTGGATTTGGACCTACATTAAGTGGTCTCAAATTTCCAAGTTGGGATCAAGCTAGATTTCTATGCTTAGTTGAGCGTGGCACGCGTAAAGGACTAAACCTACACCCGCTGGGGGATCGCAGTTCAAATCCGTAGTTAAGGGCACACATAACTCATACATAACATAGAAACTACAGTGTGTACCTTTAGTTTTGGAGCTTATTATTGCCACACCCGTTTGACATAACAATATTATAAAATATAATAACATAATAACATAACATACATAATAGTAAACAACATTATACGTATGCATAAGTCATAACAATAGCACATAGATAATAAATACACTAAAAACATACATAATAATATAACACAATATACACAGTGGCTTAAGTGCATATACATAACATACATAATACAAATTATATAATATTTAATAAATTAATAATTGAAATCCGACCATAACATAGATGATAAGGACACATGTAGAGAGTATATAAAATATGAACAGATGTCGATAATATATAATATTTAATAATAGAGGTCCAGAAGACCATAACATAGATGATAATCACACAATCGCATTTATTCATACGGACTTGTATAAGCTGAAAGTGGGAGGAATTACCTGTTTTTATCTCTGAGGAAGCACAGCCGGGTGGTCACTGGGATGGTCGCTAGGAGGTGGCCGCCGATAGCTAGGTGTTCGTTGGATGCTCATTTGGTGGTTGCTGCTATCTGGTCGCTCCGTCAAGACTCATCACACACTTCTAATCTAACGCAAATACAAGTCTCTCACGCAGATACAGTCTCGGAATTGGTATTATTAGCTGTTTTTGTTTTTAGGTTCAGAGTCACATGTTACTAAACTGAGGTAGGGCTGGGAAGTCAACCCACGTACGCGAAGGGCCATTATTTTTCTGGTGTCGATTTAGTCTGGGTCCATCTTTTTTAAATTTACTGCATTTTTTGGCGCAATAAAGCGATGGCGTGGCGATGGCGCTATTATGGCAACACTCTGTGTCCACTGCGCAATAGCCATGAATAGTGGCGATGACCCCCTGAATCGCCAATAGCAAGAAATGGCGATCACCAAATGCGCCATCGACTACTATGATTACATATTGTGTAAGCCTCATTACGCAATGAGGCGTATGCCTGAGGCGTAATATATACTACCTCTGGTTCTCAAACAAGTTCTCACATTGACTATTAAATTTTTTCTTTTGACTTTCCCATTATACCCTTACAAAAAGTTTCCCCCCTACTATTAAAAGCAAAAAATCTGCCACTTTTTATTCATGAGGCAAGAGGTAAAGTGGGTGGGATAAAAAGTGGATGTAAGGATGGGTAAATTAAATGGGTATTGGGGTCATTTTATAAAAAAAACTTGCCAACAATGGAAATCGGAACGAAAAAGGAAAGTGAGAACTTGTTTGAGAACCGGGGGAGTATATATATATAAACATAATAAAAAATAAAACTTATTCATCAAAAGTCATCCAATGTCATATTAAAAAAAACTATAAGAGGTCATAATCCTAGCAAATTAAGGAGGTTGTCCGATCTATTTCTTAAAACTGCTTTTGCTCCTTTAGGAGCATATATCGGAGTGTTAGAGTGAAAGTACAAAAGTACTAAATTGCTCCTAAAAGCAGTTTTTAGAAGATAGGGGAGACCAACTTCTGAAAAACCAATTATGATTCTGCTTGTGATTTTAAAAAAGATGCAGAAGCCGAATCAATTCCAAACACACCCTAATATATTCAAAGTACCACCAAATACCAATTATTTTTACCATTCATCAAAACAAATTTCCTCATATATCAAAATTTAAATTTATTAGATTGATTACTGGAAAATAATATCAATATCCAGTGATATGAATTTTGAAACAGGGAGCATAGCTTCAACTATAAAAATTAAGTGGTCCAGAGTGGCCCCAAATAATACCCTTACACCCCGACTTCCTATTGTGGACACCTATCAACGCCTTATTGCGTATGTAATATTGTGTACGCCACACTCCCAATGTCATAAGCAATGCCTTTTACGCCATAGTCCAGGAATTAGCTAAGGCGCATTTCCATGAGGCGCAATAGCATTGTGAATTACAAACAATGACACATTACCTTCTATGAACTCTGCTTGTGACAATCAAAGGAATCATGTAATTGCAGTGGTTTTCAAAGGTTTTGAATTTTTTTTATAGCAATGCTACTTGGATCGGAATGTTATGCCTATAAGAAAATGATTATAGCAAATGTGCATACTTTACGGAAAATGTGTTTCTAATGTGAAGATTTGTGCATAAGTGGAGTAGCTGCCATTGAAGAATGAAGGTAAAGGCTGATCATGTTGTTTTGCAATGATTGTCATGTAAAGGTAAGTGTCCCAGCGCAGAGAGTGGTATACTTGAGTTGGAGAACTAGAAAGGAGTTCGTGTGGATTGAAAACTACATAGGTTGAGGTGTAAGAAAGAAAAGGCATTAAGGCGATAGAGCTCCAGGAGTACATGATGCATGACAAAAACGAGTAAAAGATGGCCTAAATTGAGGTTTAAGAAAAGAGCATTAAAGGCGAGCTCCATGAGTACATGATGCATGGAAAAAACAAGAAAAGAGCATTAAAGGCGAGCTCCATGAGTACATTATGGTGTTAGATCTGCTGGAGTACATGATGCATGACAAAAATGAGTAGAAGATAAGGATTTTAATGGATGACCTCAGGACAATATTTCTCTTCATTCACGTAGCCAGACTCCGTAATCTGGGATTAAGCCTCGGTTGTTGGTCTTTGTTATTTTAACGTCTATGTGGACTTTACTATCGATAACTGTGGCTGAAATAACCCAGATATTGTGTTTAAATCTGCCTCTATTTTACCCACCTAAAACCTTTTTTATTTTTGCTTCAAATAAGTCAGTCTTTTTTTGTGTAATAACTTGTCCAACATTGTTTTTTTCCTTGCAGAGGCTACGTTTTTGCTGTTAGCGTACACAGAGTTCAACTTCTTCTCCAGGTCCTCAGTGTGAAGAAGTTCCATCACTCCCAACAACAGCAGCAGCAGCAAAATCCTTCAGCTGCCCTGGAGGAACTGTCTCAATCTGAAATCGGAGAGATATGTGACTACTTCTGCCGTCGTGTTGCATCGGAGCCATACGATGCATCCCGTGTAGCTTCGTTCATAACACTTTTAACTTTGCCGATTTCAGTTTTGAGAGAATTCTTGAAACTCATTGCGTGGAAGAAAGGGTTAGCTCAAATTCATGGGGCGGTTGATGTTGTCCCCCCCGCACAGAAATCGCGTATAGAACTGTGTCTTGAGAACCACACTGGATGTGTTGTGGATGGGGGAGGGAACTACGAGACCACAAAAAGCAATATCCACTACGACCGGCCTCGTAACTCTGTTGAATTTGCGCTGACGGTGGTCCTTGATCCCGCTCACATACCTCACATAAATGCTGCCGGTGGTGCTGCTTGGCTGCCATATTGCGTTTCTGTTAGATTGAGATATGTGTTTGGTGAGAACCCTACAGTATCGTTTCTCCAAATGGAAGGCAGCCATGGTGGCAGGGCATGCTGGTTGCGAGCTGATGATTGGGAGAAATGCAAACAGAGGGTGGCCAGGATCGCCGATGCAAGCAGCTCTGCCGGTGATGTGAACCAAGGAAGGCTCAGGGTTGTTGCAGATAACATTCAGAGAACGCTGCATGCTTGCCTTCAAGGACTGAGAGAAGGTAGTAGTAGTAATAGTGGTGGTAGTGTGCCTTCGGGTGAAAGACATCCCTAACGATTTGAGTGAGCTAAAGCAGAAGCAGCAGCATGCCACCATGATCAGAATAACACTATATCATTAGGATTCAGTGAAGCTTGAATCCTTCCCATGTACAGCTAAAAATGTTCTGTAAATTCAATGATCATCCCTGATATATGATTTAGTTCTCCACAACGCCAGGGGCATTGTTGTTTTGCATCACTAGTCCAAGCTTTATTCATAATATCAAGAGCACACTGTAAATTTGTAGGCTAAAATTTTGGTCGTAAGTTTTGCTATTTTACCCCTCGTTTATTACTGCATACTCCCTCTGTCCCGTTGGAATGTTCCCGCATTCCTTTTTTGGATGTCCCGTTGGAAAGTTTCCATTTCCCTAAATGGAAAGTTATCCTACATCAAAACAACGTTAAACAGTGCAAAACACTGTCAAACAGTGTCGAAACAATGTCAAAACAGTAAAATTTACCCCTGGTAAGTTTATTTCCTTAACATGTGTGTAGGTCTAGGGGTGGACTCGGGCCGGGCTAACTGGCCCGGACCGGCCCGCTACTGTGCGGGCCCAGACCGGCCCGGTGAACCGGTTGGTTGGCCGATTCGGGCCACCCGGCCTGGTGGGATCTCGGTTCGGGCCCGGCACGGGCCATTTTTTTTTTGAATTTTTTTTAAGTTTTTGGGTTGGGCTGGGTATTTTGGGCCATTTGAGGTGGTTAGGGTTGGTTTGGGGTAGTGTTGGATTCGGTTCGGGCCACCCGGCCCGTGACCCGGCCCGGCCCGGTACTGTGCGGGCTCGGGACCGGCTCGGTCGGGCGGTCCGGGACCGGGTATGGGCCCGAACTGGGGGGAAGGGGCGGGGCGGGCTCGGTTCATCATTTTTGTGACCCGGCCCGGGCCCGGGTCTATTTTTTTTAAAAAAACTTTTTTTTGTTTTTGGCTACTAGCCGTTGAGGCCTTGGGGGTGGGGCTGGGGACAACCCAAACGGCTATATAGCCGTTGGGTGGGGTAAAGGGGGGGTCCGGGGGGGTTGGCTGGTAGGGTGGGGGGGTGGGGGGGTAAAAAAATCTATAAATACTCCTACTCTTAAACATTTTTTCATATCTCTTCTCCAATTCTTCCCAAATCCTATTCTTAACTCTCTACTCTCTAATTCTCTTATTCTCCAATATATTATATATTTACTCTCTAATTATCTTCTCCAAGAAGTTAAGATGGAAAATCAAAATGCCATTATACGGTATAATTTTGATAAGCTGAAGGACCTGAAGACCGGGATGTGGTACGCAATTTGCAAATGGTGCGAAAAAAAATGTATCATGGGGGCTTCAGGCGGATTCGGGATGGCAATCAAGCATATGAAGTCATGTGACAAAGCCAAAGGATCGGGAGGTGCGGGAAGTTCCGATTGATTACAATTTTCAAAATGTTTCTCTCTTAAAGTTTGATTTAATTTTCAAATGTAGTTCCTATTTCATTTCAAATAAATGCACTTGAAGTTTGTTTTTTAATACTTGTATAAAACTATAAAGTATAAAATATAAATTAAAAAAAAAATTTACCCGGCCCGGCCCGGCCCGGCGGGTGGCCCGACCCGTGACCCGGGCGGGTGGCCCGGCCCGAACCGGACCCGTCCAACCCTCGGGCCGGTCCCGGGCCCACTATTCTAGAACCGGCGGCCCGACCGGGCCTAGGCCCGGCTCGGGCCCGACCCGGCCCGAATCCATCCCTAGTTTGGGGGGGGGGGGGTGAGGGGGAGGGTTGGGGGTTAACTAGGAAAAGCCCAAAAAAAAAAAAATATAACCGAGGCCTGGCCCAGCCCGGACCCGGGGTTACCCGGGCCGGTTCCGGGCCTCCCATACCTTAAACCGAGGCCCGGCCGGTTCAAGGCCCGAACCATGCCTGGCCCGGACCGAGTCCATCCCTATGTAGGTCAAACCGGGAACATTCCAACGGGACGGAGGGAGTAGTATTTATTGTTCCTAAGATGACTTTTTAAAAGGCGGTGTTTACTGTTTAGTGTCAGACTATCCACGACTGTAAATGCAATTCCTTCTTTTGCTCTCCATTTTTATGAAGTTGGAAGTTATTGTAGTAGAATAATGAATAATGGCTTGTCCAATAGGTAGCCCTACGATCATATATAGTTACACACAAGTTCCTAATATAATGTTCTATTACACCTAGGGGTGGATTCGGTTCGGGCCACCCGACCCGTGACCTATCCTGGCCCGTTACTGTGCGGGCCCGGGACCGGCCCGGTCTGGCGGTCCGGGACTGGGTGTACACCCGAACCGGGGGGGATGGGCGGGACGGGCTCGGTTCCGGAAATAGTTGACCACTTGACCCGGTCGGGTCGGGCCCAGGTCCGGGTCCAACGGTCACAATTTAAAAAAAAATTGGTTGTTTGAAATTTGAATCAATAGAGCCGTTGGGGGTGGGGGTGGGTGGGGGGTGGGGGTACAAAAATTTCAATAAATACTCTTATTTTCTAACATTTTTATACACATCTTCTCCAACATCCAATCTCTAATCTCCATTCTACATCTTCATCTTCATCTATTGTAGAATTATCATATCTACCATTTTTAAGATGGAAAGTCAATATGCCGTTATATGGTATAATTTTGATAAGCAGAAGGACCCGAGGATCGGGATGTGGTACACAACTTGCAAATGGTGCGGGAAAAAATGTAGCATGGGGGTTTCAGGCGGATATGGGAAGGCAATGAAGCATATTAAGTCATGTGAAAAAGCCAAAGGATCGGGAGGTGCGGGAAGTTCCGATTGATTACAATTTACAAAACGTATTTCATATTGTATGTATCTCTTAATTTTCAAATGTAGTTCCTATTTCATTTCAAATAAATGCACTTGAAGTTTGTTTTTAATACTTGTATAAAACTATAAAGTATAAATTATAAAAAATAAAAAAAATTAGACCCGAGCGGGTGGCCTGACCCGAACCGGACCCGTCCAACCCTCAGTCCGGTTTCAGGTCCATGAGATACAAACCGGCGGCCCGACCGGGCTCGACCCGGCCCGAGTCCATGCCTAATTACACCCCCTCAACCTATGTAGGGGAAATTACAATGCAGATTGGAACATAAAATTCAAAACCTCGACTAATTAAATTTTTGGTAAAAATATGTGCAAGTTGATACTGATTACTGAGTAAGAATATATTTAATTGTTAGATAACCATGTGCCACACGTTCATGAACATAATGATAGTTTATCTTGATAAGCTCGTTGCGGTCGTGCTGAATAGGATTTACTGCAAGATGAGAGGTTGATACATTTTCACAAAACAATTGAACATGATTGGTTAAAACAATCCCCATGTCGAGAAGAAGAGAGCGAATGAAGAGTTTGTCTTGGACGGTATAAGTTACAACATGATATTCAGCTTCGTTGAAAGATTTTGAGATAGTGGGCTATTTTTTGGACTTCCAAGAAATAAGATTGCCACCAAAAAAAGATAGCATAACCTGTAGTGGGACGATAGCTATCTGGACATTCATCCCAATCGACGTCAAATAAGCTACTACTACGGAAATACTCTGACCAGAGCGTAGCCTTTAGTCATGCGAAGTTGTGCCTTACAAATACTTGTAAATTCTCTTTACTGCAGCAAAATGAGTGGTACGTGGAGCATGCATAAATTGATAAACCAAATGAACGACATAAGTAATATTCGGTCGGGTGATAGTCAGATATCGTAACACACCTACCATGCTGCGATACTCAGTGTCATCAGTGAGAAGTACTTGGTAATTGCCTTTGGGTTGAGAAATTCAGGGGCAACGTATACCCGTATGGTGGCTAAGGTCTTCCGAGCTATTCTTGGAAGGAATATGGAGGCCTATGTGGATGATATGATCGTCAAAAGTCATAAAGTCGGAGACCACGCGAACAACCTTGGGGAAGTGTTTGGGATCATGAAGAGAGTCAATATGAGGCTCGATCCTAGAAAATGTACCTTCGCGATCCAAGGTGGAAAAGTTCTTAGGGTTCATGGTAACGCATAGGGGAATAGAACCCAACCCTACGAAAGTCAAGGCAATTTTGGAGATGGAGCCTCCCCGAAACGTAAAGGAAGTCCAGATCCTACAAGGGAGACCGGCAGCCCTGAGGAGATTCCTATCGAGGTCGGCAGAGGAGTCACTACCATTTTCCAAGTCTTGAAGAGGAGCAACTGATTCGAATGGTCTAAGGACCCAAATTGCCTTCGAGGACCTCAAGAAGTACTTACAATCAAAGCTTCTGCACAGTAAGCCTGAAGCGGGTGAAACAATTATTTTATACCTTGGAGTGTCACAAAGTGCAGTTAGTTCCGTCCTAGTGCGGGAGGAGGGCACCATGCAGAAGGCAGTATATTACACTAGCAAGGTCCTCCACAACGCCGAGCTCAGATACCCCTCTCTAGAGAAATATATTCTGCCGATTTAGAGTTCCCATGAAAATTATCACGGACAACGAGAAACAATTCGACTCTGAGCCCTTCAGGGATTATTGTGGGCAATGGGGAGTTGAAGCCATCAGAGCATCTGTTGCTTATCCTCAATGTAACCGACAAGTGGGGAATGCAAACAGAATAATCGTATGTGGTCTCAAGAAGAAATTGAATTCTTAGGAATGACCTGGGTGGATGAGTTGAACAAGATACTCTGGGCTTATCAAACGACCCCAATGAAAGCTACTGGAGAGACCCCATTCGCACTAACTTATGGTTTTGAGGCTCGAGCATCATTTGAGGCTTTGGTGCCAAGCAGAAGGGCATAAGAGTATGAGTGTAACACCCTGTCCCGTAGGGCCTGAGGTAGTTACTCTTACACGCCTTCGAGACCTCTAGTACTGTCCTCACAAACCACCACTAGCTCTTTCCGCGCATTTTGTCCTCACTCGTGAGTGCCCTAAGAAACTTCCGAGAGGGTCACCCATCCCAAGATTACTCCCGTGCAAGCACGCTTAACTTTGGAATTCTTGGCTATTGAGCTCCCTTAAAAGGAGATGCACCTTGTTGTATGAGTAGTACTATTAATCTGTTTAAATTAAATCTCAAGTGTTACAATCACCCCCACTTAGGATCGCAACGTCCTCGTTGCGCCCATAATCCAATCTCAAATCTCAATCAAATCCCAGAATCCTCCCTCGCTAAGTGTCCGCCCGATACTCAACGGATCAGCACACTGTCGCAGGGTTGCTCTGATACCACCTGTAACACCCTACCCCATAGGACCCGAGGTAGTTACTCATACACACCTTCCGGACCTCTAGTACTGTCCTCACAAACTGCCACTAGCCCTTTCCGCGCACTTTGTCCTCACTCGTGCGCGCCCTAAGAAACTTCCCAGGGGGTCACCCATCCCAAGACTACTCCCGTGCAAACACGCTTAACTTTGGAGTTCTTGGCTATTGAGCTCCCTTAAAAGGAGATGCACCTTGTTGGTATGAGTAATACTATTATTCCGTTCAAATTAAATCTCAAGTGTTACAATGACCCTGAGAATAATGAAGAATTACTAAGAGTCGAGGTCCATTTGATTGAGGAAAGAAGGGACCGAGCATTCTTCATGACAAAAAACTATAGATGTCAAGTGAAAGAGTATCATGATGCCAAGATCAGATCAAAGCAATTTGACATTTGAGATTTAGTCCTGAGGAGAAGATCTGCCAGCAGACCTCTAGGATTAAAGTTCGCCAAGAATTGGGAAGGATCTATAAAATCGTGGGAATAGCTGGGCCCGGGACCTACAAGTTATGTATTTCTTGAAATTCTACCAGTAAGTATGTATTTCTTTTCAAAAGAAAGACTTTAATAAAATTATGTTTCTAGTTCACAAATATCCTTTACACTTGACAAACCTTGTGAAGGTTTCTTAACCAACCAGAGCCTACATTAAAAAAAAAGGAATGGCCATGCCAAACTGGTATTCGCAAAAGTCAAAGTAGAATTCTGAATTCATCTAAATTCTAAAAGCTCAAGCATAATCTTTGTTAAAGATGAGAGCGAGAATTAACAACCTTCCTCAAGATTAAATAGCCTTAACAAATAAAATCAAATTTCCCCAGAATGGGAAAAGACAGCCTTTTTCAAATCTAAAATTTATTTACAAGGCTAAAAGATGAAAAATAAAGGAATAAAACTTTGCACTGAGAGGATTTTTTTAAACAAAATCACACCAATGAAAGAGGCTTATCATGAGGTAAGAATGACCTAAATAACAGCCCACCTGATATGGCTCAAGGAGTAAGAGCCTAAGGGTTGCAAATTGGTGAAAGCCCCCCCTCCCCAAGTAGGGAGAGACGACCTTGACCGAAAATTGAAGGCAAAAGTGAAGTAAGGGGATATCGTGATAAAAGTTATTTTGAATCCCAAGGCATCAGGGACAGTTAAGAAGACCAGAAAGTCATCATGTATACTTAGTATGCACAGGCCACAACTACAACAATCTGTGAGAGAACTCCCCAAACGGCCAACATGACCAGAGGGATGCAAACCAGCCAAGAGTAAGACTGGAAAGACTCAAATTCCAGAAGTGAGAGCAAAACTAATAAAGCACAAAGTAGGTCAAACATGAATATGTGCAAGAAAGTAAAGGTGTTTGATTACATGTCACCCCGGGGCGGAAAACACTACGGACACGCAGATCCGAAAAAGATGTTTGTTGAAATGTTTGAAATGTTCAGGGGAGGAAATCAATTACCAATAAGAGAAGGAGCAGGGGCTTCTGAAGCTAGGCCAACCTAGGGGGCTTTCGGATTGTCCATTTCTGCTGGAAACCCCAAGGTTTGAGGAGAGAAGGAATGGTCATGTTCCCTCAGGATTTGGTAAACAGATCGTTACATTCCAAACCTGCCCAATTGGAAGCATGGTTTGCCTCCAGCTTAGCCTCACCAGCGAGAGTAAGAAGCTACTCCTGTGCAATCTCAACTTGGCGGGCAGTTGTGGCCTTCTCCACCTCAGGTTGAAAGGCTTCTCTTTCCAAGAATGCTTTAACGGCCCCGACCCCAGCACTCCCCATTCTCTTCGTCAGGTCCTCCTCCTTAGCTCTCCATGCATCCTTAATGTGTTGGAATAAATCCATGAATACTTTAATCTTCATATTGAAATTATCTAGAGAATTAACTGAGCGGAAGCGTACCTGACTTCATGGGAGATGACCTTTAGAGATCCGGGAGACGGAGGCTAGGGTTTGTGTCTTCTAGTTGATACACACCCTCGGGATTATCTCTCTAGCGATGAGATGCAGAAAGACGAAATGACATGTTCAACTAGGGACCATAATCCCTTATTTATAGAGAGTGCTTAACCCTAATCAGCCTATCATTGATTAGGTCAAGCCCATGGGTCTCTACACATTTGGGCCCTATACCTTATTAGATAACTTATTAGCCCACTTAAATTAATATCCATAGGACCACTAATTTTTGGGCCTAAATATAAGATAGCATATAACATACAATTAAACCCGATAAATAATATATTGTGAATATTACATGCAATATAAGTCCAATAATCTAACAATCTCCCACTTGGACGACATACACATGTATACTTAATCCTCATAATTGTATGTTTACTTTAGGAGCTCCAAAATTTTGCTATCAAACTGTAGTCATCTTTAATCAATCCGGTCCATTAATTATATCAACATAGGATCAAAGAAGTCTTTGCTATATTTGAATAACTAGACCCATCAATGATCACATATATTAATATAATAAACGACATGGATCAAGTATAGGTGTGTAGCGTGGAAATAACATAAAGTGTGGTCTGGAATAGAATGTCTATTTCCAACTGGTCCACCTTGAGATCAATAATATAACTGTAAGAGTACATAAAACTTTAAACTTTATTTCTGCAGAAAATAACCTTAAAACTTGAATCAAGTCAATTAATCAAATATAGAAACATTACAAACTCCCACTAAAACTCA